CACTCGGAGAGCAGACCCCCCCCAACATGCAGAACCACTCGAACTCGGAAGTATTCAGGCTCCTGCAACTCCGCAAAGTCGGGTTCCATGGCGCCAGCGGGAATAAGAGGTGAAACGTCAGGGCAGGGTCGACCGAACTGGTACTGTTGCTACTTCGTGTTCTCTACATGGCCAGACTTGAATCTTGAAGACTGAGTGGAACCATCCCCAGGTCGAACACCGCTTGGGGAGCCCTGAACGGTTCAACGTGCTCTTTGGCCGTCGACACCTGCGCTGAACTAAACCCTGACATAGCGAGGACAAAGTTTTTGGTGCGAAATTTCGCGCGCCGAAACACACGACGTGGAAGTCTACTCATCGCATGGAGCATCATCGTGGAAGTCGACTCATCATGACTCATCGACGGCAAGTCCAGGATTCATCGGGATGCAGCATTTGACAACTATCCCACTTGTCGGTGCAAACTTTGACAACGGCCAGTCCTTGAAGAAACATGGGCCAAACCTTGCCAAACCGGCCAAATGACGATCCACCATCATGTTCAGAATGGGAGAAGAATTCATCCTGACTGCTAAGATTTCAACGACCAAGGACACAATTGCTGCATGCATATATATATATATATACTTGGCAAACCCCCAAAAAGAATTGACAGCTTTTGCTCATGGCATTGACATGCATTATTTTCTTGAGCTCTGGCGGCCTTGCTTCCCAGCCTTCAGGGCCTATAACACATGTCTAGCTTCAAACAAGACTTCTGGGAAGGTACTTGGCGGATGGCACCCCTGGCACCCCAAGGCTGTGCAGCCTGTGCCACATGCACATCATGCGCCATCCAGATCTGCTCCAGTTTGCCAACTGTGACCTTCTTCATTGTTGATTCTTCTGCTGTTGATCCTTTGCGACCAATCAAATCCCAAGACCGGAGTGCTTTTCCCAGTGGTGTTTACCTGAAGAAAACCGTCTTCGATCTCCATCCCTCTGACGGGGCAGCCGTCGCGGGCGGTGCCGCTTCTTTTCGGGGGCCGCCGGAGAGTTGGCGCCACGTGTCATCAACGCTGCTGAGACCTGCGGGCCGCGGTGTCCCTCATCGCGCGGACACCGTCCCTCCCCAAGGTGAACTGAGGTGGTCGAAGAACGTGGGGATGAAACCGTTGGACGTGGGATTTGCCTCCCCGTGAGATCTGGCTGCATTTTGTTGAAGAACATGGTTCTATAATATATATATGGGTACATCATGGTATATCAATATCCTTTTACCAGCAACATGGTTAGTAAAGGCCCTTCTCAAGAATCGAGATAATCTTTTACCGACTGTTACTGGCGCTGGGACACACCCATTACAATATACTGCTAGCTCTCACCAGTGCCAGTAACCATCACCCTTCTTGGGCCCCCACTGAACAGTCCCAAACTTAAGCAGTCCTGTGAGGTCCAAGCGAACGACAACCCGAGTTCTTCCACAGTTCCATCAGGTTAAAAGCAAGAAGACATGTGCCACGCAAGTGGGTGGCACCTTCCACCCAAAGAACACCAACACGAGATGCAGCGTGTTGGTGTTAATTAAGTCTATGTCTATATCTGTATAACTATTTGTCCTATACTCAAGAAAACCTGCACTGTTAAGGTGTTCCACCTTTTCCACATTTTTCTGCCCTGCTTTCCATGTACGAAACAAGGGAGCTCGCTCTCCCGCCCCACTCGCTTGACCGGTCGACGCTCGTTTCCGACGCTCTTCGCTCGTCCGGGCGCCTGCGACTGGTGCACACCGAACTCTTTGGCCTGTGAGCCTCCGTCCTCGCTGCGGCACAGGGAACACATCGGGGGAAAAAACACTGACTAACTTGCAAAATTCCTCAAAAAACCTACAGAACACCATCGGGGGAATCACAGTCTCCCATGGTTCGTTGGCCTCTCCAAACTGCGTGCGCAAAATGAGTTGCCTCTAGCTTGAGGAAACATACAAGTATATATATATATATATAATATATATATATATTGTTTGTTTAATGCTGTTGTGCATGTTGTTCTTTCTGTGCCTACCTTCTCAGTCAAGCGAGTCCATGTCTTTATCCCCGATGCCGTCTCATGTCCTCATGTCTCTTCCTTCTCATCTTCACCTCACCGGTGCCACAGAACGAGCTCAGCTGCGACATGCTGGGCTGCTTCTGCTGAGGCTCCACAGGACCGTACGCGAGGTTCGCCCAACCAAAAGTGATGCTTTCCGAGGTTCAAACATGACTGAAGGATACTGAAGGACTATATATGCTAGCTGCTAACACCTGCCATCGTGTGTGGGATCCAACTTTCACATGGGATGTTTATGGTTCCTGTTGTTCAACAGTGGCCAAGACGTGACAATTAACAATTGACCGTCCCTCACCCGGCTGGTTATATAATTCGATTCGATGTTGACCCGATGGTCTGATCAAATCATTTGATCTTTGTTTGGCCTGGAGTTGGTAGGGTGCGTGCGCCCAACCACGCACAAACCGGGCGGGAGCATCCTCCAAAACCAGGACTGTTCCACCGCCCAAGGCACGGAGCTCCAGCGATCCAATTCACGGGCGCGGTTCGGCGTGAAGTAAGGAACCACAAGGGGGAGAATGATCACTTGCCACAAACCACAGGAGAACGCCGTTATTGTGATGGTTGTTTCTGGCAATTCACAATTTAAACAAATAACGACTGCAATAACAACAATGACAGTCAACAAGCACCACCGCCACAACACAAAGACACAACTCAAAACAAGCACGAGCATCACCTTCCTCGCAAGGAAGACGGACTCTTTAAAGGACCGTGTGTTAAACATATTAAACCAACTTAGTCGTGGACTCGTAGGTTTTAGACCACATGCTTTGGGTCTATTTGATGCCTTAGGCCCGGGGCCCAGTGGATGATAGGAATAGGGTTTGGGTCTATCCCATGCATGTCGAACACAAAGACCCACAGACCCACACCCCAAAACGTCGGTGTAAACCAACCCTCGCGCCTTCGGCGTCGTTCGGGCGCCTGGTTTGGGCTGGGTGAGGAACAAAAGGTGAGTGGTTTGGCACTGGCACCCTATCATTCTTGACACAAACTTGTGCACAAACTGGATAGGGTGCATATTATCAGTTTGTGTCCAGTTTTGGCGAACTTGGATGATTTCCTGGTTCCATCATGTTTTGGCCGGTCTTCCCGTCATGTTTGATGCTTCATGTCATGCGAGCAAGCTGGCCAAGTTCCTCCACGTTCTCCCCACCCTTTTTCCCCCGCAAGAGGCAAGTTGCACAGGGACACCAACCTTTCAGTCTCGGACTTGGACCAAAACAGCTATACCGCCAAAAAATGTTGCCCAATACACTCCTGAAACAATCATGGAAGTGGAACATGGCCTCTTGGAAGACTGTCTTCCTCTACAAACCGGTGGTTAGTTTTCCACTTCCATGATTGTTTCCGGGAGGGTAATTGACCAAAGCCCGGCAGCTCAGGAACGTCACACCATATCTTTAAGCACATGTGATTCATCGTCAGATCCCCAGCCAAGCTTGTACCTTGACTCCGGTGGGCCTTCCAAAGCTGTGAAGCGGCTAGAAGCTTGACTTCGAGCGCGTTTCGCCCATTTCACTCCCCCAAAATGCCGGTCTTTTCGCCTCAAGCCACAATAACACCCTTTCATGAGCTCAGCTCTCTTGGCAGAACTAAAATCCAAACCTCTCTTAATTTCTTGATGGACAAGTTCTACATCGACACCCATATCAGAAAGACACAGCTTCCCACCACCACGAAATCCAGTGGTTCTTCCAGTTGAGATGTCATCTTCAAGATTGTTCTTTTGCCCTGCACATCCCCATCTCCACACCATTTCAACTTTCTGACAACAATCCCAACATTGATGTTATTTTTGATGAGACCTTGATGTTCATCACCACGTGCGCAGGATCTGACGGAATTTTCGCCTGAGGCTCTTCTCCAGAGAGACCTGGGCCAGGAGTGATTCGTCTAATCAGGCAGTATTAAACAAATAAATGGGCAACCCGAAAACCATGAGTAAGTCAAGTGATTTCATGTACCGTAACTTTATGTTTTGTACACGGCCGGGTTTCTGTCATCTACTATACTCGGAAAAATGACATATACCCAGAGACAGTTCAGATCATGTCTCGCCTGCCTGACTGTTTTGCCTTACTCTGGGGGAAATAGCTCTCCGCCACACTACCAGCATCACCTACGAGCACTCTCACAACAGGAAGTCTCGCTCTCTGGCTCAAGTACAAACATGTTGAAATTGGTGTTAAGCCACGAAGGTCAAGCATTCTTCGTCCTATGTTCCAATAAATGTATGCCTAATATATATATATATATTTTTGATTGGTATTATATATAGTTATTGTATATTATGTATGGTGTTTCTCAGCCAGCAGTGTGTCCTAAAGGTTCACACCAGCTTTTTGGCCGCTCTTAAGTGGGGGAACTGGGAGTGCAGTTCAACAATCTATATTTGAGAATAACTCCATAGCACTATTCACATAAACACGTGCTGCCCGGATCACAGAGTCTTTTTGACGTCCCGGCAGCCTCATGCAGCCTCAACATTTCTGCCAACATGTTCCGCTTCTTATTTCCTCAAGCTCAAACGTCGCACTGCAACTACGAAGGGCGTGCGATTGAAAATTCTGATCACCTCCTTGGGCATCGGAATGGAGCAGTTTCCGCCAGGCTATCTCCGGTCTTGATCAAGAAAGTCAAGCAAATCCAGTCCAAGGATGTCCAAAATGACTTCTTACTATGGGATGTGGGTCGATTGCCAGGCGCTCCTTGGCGGTAAAGCGTCCCAGATTGTGCCTCTAGGATCCTGCTGGATGACTTACATAACCCAAAGCAAAATGAAAGTTTTCAGTGCTGCAAGGCTCACAAGTGATGGACTGTGGAATCCAAGTTCGCTAAGTTTGTCGATGCCTCTCGACCCACTCCCTAACTATTTACATGGATTGTGAGAGCTCTTTGCCACAATCTCAGTCATCAGACTCAGCTCCTTAGACCATGTGGCTGGTCGAGAAATTCCTAAGCCACTTAGCCACCCAGGCGAGTCCAAGCCCTTCGGCCAGAGCCAGACCGACCCCCGAGCCGGACCCTGAACCCGACCGACCTGGGAACCCGTGGAGACAAAGAGACGAAGTCAATGGGAACCTCAATCCTCCCCGTGACAGCTTAGTCAATTCGAAATTCATGTGATAATATGTTATAGGTGATACAGTAATATGTTATTCATAGGTGATAAGACTATGTCAATTCTCAAGGTGATATGTTGAAACCCGCTCGTCGGGCCTACGAGACCGGCGGCCACTCCAAGTCACTGACACGCTCTTCAGGTTTTGATTCACCCGGCACCTATCCAAGCCCCAAACCAGCCCATGGTATGCTGAGCCGCAGCCATACAAAAAAGGGCACTACCTCAACATAATCACATACAATATCATAGCCTCAAGCCCTCATGCCTCACAAACACCAAGGGTTCGATATGGTTTGATGGGAGGGTTGCCATGCGACCCAGCATCCAACTCGTCGTACCATTCCCTGGCGCACAAACTGGCTCCTGCAGTATGCTTGGGCTGGTGAAAGGCACCAGGTGCCTTCAGAAATGGACCTCAATGATGGGTTTTCGCAAGGCTGGGATGGCTAAATATGGCTAGTGCATTCCAACACATGCAAGCATTGACACTTGATGTGTAGCAAAAGCATTCCTATAAAGGTGGATAATAGGATAACATTATATAGTGGCTTGAGAGTAGATGGCACAAACCCCAAGAGGTGGCTTATATTTGAACCTCAATGTAAGGGACATCATGAGGTCTGTGCCATCTCAACCAGCTGAGTGAGATCCAGCACCTAGCTTTCAGTGTATGAGTCCAGCTGATTGAGATGGATACAGCGTTATACAGCGTTTGGGATGCGGTCGTTTCACACAAACTTCCAGTAGATCAAGCGATCTGGCAACAAGTTGTAGGGAAAACACAACGAACCCATCGTCGTTGCATGATCTATGCATCAATCGAGTTGCAACAGCTCGCTCGGAATTCGCATCATCCTCACCTTAATGCGACCACACGTACAAGTTTTGCATTGCAATTCCTGTATGAATTTGCATTGTCTTTTGAACTCCTTTCTCTCAAAGGGGTGCCGTGTATTGTCTTCACTTTTGGACTCACCAACCTGTGCCACAGAAAAGCTTGGCGTGCTTAGTTTAACAGAAGTTCCCTTCCTAAATAGGCAACTTTTGATAGTATAACATCAGGTGCAAGAGATTATATAAAGCTTTGGCAACTCTGCAAAATCTCAAAGCACACCTGGGTCTTGCATTGGATCAAACATGATCAAGCCAAGCTGCTTGCCCATCTGGTCCCATCATGCGCACGCCCACCACAGGAGACTCGTGCATATCATCTCCTCAGACACTCGTCATGTGAGCCTTGCTTCAAAAGGCAAGAAGAAAACTGCAAGAATTGGTTGGTTAGGAAGATTTGGGAATATATGGGAATATAACATCCATCCAGAAACCAGGGGGTCCAGCAAGCAATCTTTAAATAGCACAATCATGGATGCTTCGGCCCCCCGCCCTTGGCCCCTCCCCTGCACAGTTTCTGTGCCAACAAGCCGCCATCCTCCTCTTCCAAACTCTGCTGCTCTACTGGCTGGAAAGCCTTGCGGGCGAGATCATTCACGTCCGTCAGCCAATAAAACCAGGGGACATGGACGAGCACCAGGTGCAACTCAAAGAGACCTACCAAACACCATACCATGCCATACTCTACGCCATAGATGCAAAACGGGCTCTACCATGCTCGACCCGACAAAAACCAAAGAGCTACCCACAACCTCAGAAAGTCTCAATCCTTTCCAAACGCTCTAGACTGGTGATCCCGAAAAGGTTTAACAAATGCAGCATTGATACGCTTCGTGACTATGGTCATTGCAGGCAGAATCCTACCAGCTTCGGCAAACTGCCTCTGTGAGGGCACAGGAGACACCCGTGCTCTCTTTTTCCAGTACTGTGCTCTGCTTCGAGAAGGCACCGGTGTTCTGCGACTTCAGGCCCCTACTAGTAACTGTACACAGAGCGCCCATCATCGCAGGTCACACAAATCGAGCTTGCAGGAAGGGCACGTGGGGTTCTTATCCAGCCACGGATCTAGACATGATTTGTGAAAGGCATGGAAACAAGTCAAGCGCATCACGCTGTCTCCTGGAGAATACTCTTCCAGGCACAAGGGGCATGTCTCAGCTTCAGCATCCTTGGCCCAAGGGGTCACTGGAAGCTGCGCACGGATGGCCTCCACCAGCGATTGCCGTTGAATCTGCTGCAGCCGATCCTCGTCCGCGGCCTCCGTGATCGCGTGCGGAGGAAAGGGGTCACGGTTCAGCTCCATGGCGTTTTGGAGGTCCCTCTCTTCAGCCTGCACCTCAAGGCACTGGCTGGAAGGAAACAACCCCATCAAGGGGGCGTCGGTCGGACCCCCTTGTTGGGAAGTTGCCAAGAAAGTTCAAGATCATGAGGGCTGATGTTCAGGTGATGGCCATGATGCATGAGTGCCTTACTGCCTTTATTTGTTCCACCTCATTCCACCTTTTCAGTCAGCTATCTGCACCTGGGTCAGTGCCAACATCATCGCCAGTAGCTCATCCTCATCGAAGGATGCTCCGTTCGGACGCCTCTGCTCCGCTGCATGACGGGCCTCGCGCGCTGCATGGCGGGCCTCTCGGGCGGCTCGAGCTTCCCGAGCTTCAGCCTCCTGCAAGTCCTGCGACAGGGGAGACTTTGTGGGAAGACCAGTTCAAACACCTGGAAACTGGTGTTTGAAACAGGGAACCGGCCCGGCGGGACCTCTCTTAATTACTATATTCAAACCACCAGTTTCCCTGTTGAAGCCCCCAGGCAAGATGGCATCGCTGGCTGTTTTGTTGGTGAACTATGCATATTTTAGATTGCATAATTCAAACTCGAACTGTGTATAGCATCGTATATTTGTATATATATATATATATAAATATACTTAACACATCTATATAATCTATATATGTCATCATGCAATACTTGCTTGAAACTCATCATTCATGAGCCCCCCCAAAAAACACCCTTGATCGTCGTCCTGCTCAAGCAGTGCCAATGCGAAGTCTTCATCATTGACCTCACTTGGCTCCGGTCCCGGCCGCCCGCGGCCGGCTCGGACCGGCGCCGACACCGGCGCCGCGCCGCGGACCGGCACGGGGACCGGCCGCGCGCGGCGCTGCTCGGAGGCGGCACGGCTGGAGGCCGCCGTGGAGGCCGTGCCCGGCCCGCGATCTTCACGAGGCCGGGCATCGCCTCGGTCGCTCTTGTCGCCTCGGTGTCTGGTTGGAAGAACCCACCAACAGTCGGACCAATTCATATCAAAAAGTCCTAACAGCAACAGTTAGGCCAATTTTATTCCATCTTCAGCCCCATGTTGGAGATCCCCACCTCTAGCCGTCCTCCGTGAGTCAGGCCCTCGTGCCAGGGAAGCCCGACCACTGGCCACCAAGCCCGAGCGAGCACGATGACTAGGGGAGGCGTTGGATCTCATCGCTTGGGATTGGGCGCTCCGCTTTCCCGCTCCGCTCCGGCTGGGCGGGGTTTGGACGACGCCTCCGAGCCGAAACACCAGCATCCAAAAGCATCCAGCGCATCTCTCAGGCTGTAGGTGATCAGAAGTGAAAAGAACCGGCCCCCGACGGCCAATCAATCACAATCAACACCACTGGGTTTCCATGAATTGGGTTGTTTGCGGCGTGACGTTGTTTTGGTCTCCAACTTGCACAGTTTGGGCGTTCCGCCAGCAGGTTGCTTGTGGAACAATCGACCTTATGGTGATCCATCGAGCATCATGCCATAACGGCATGCTAAAACTTGTTGACTTGACCGAGAGTCACTTTCCGCATCTGCCGCATTCATGTAAGGGTGTGGGCAGTGTGGGGTCACAGTTGTGTTTTCCTCCCAAATCCAGTGGGACACTTTTGCGTACCGAACAATTAATGATGCTGTAGGCCAACAAACGAGGTATTCCACAGCCATTTGAGCCCCTGCCAAGCGCAAACCTCTGGGATCTCTGGAGTCCTCGGTCCGGCCCCATCTCAGGAACGTCGACGTGGACCAAGATTGGGGTAGTAGACTATAGTTGGAGTCTCTAAGAGACTCTTTGTCTTTAAATTGCTCTTAACCCGACCTAAGTGTGACCATGTTCAGCTTCTAAGAGGGGCCGTCAACCTGTTGACCAAGAATGAGAAACATCTCCAAACTGGTGCATCTTCCGATCCCTTCCTTCCTTCGCCACCCAAAGCCAGCAGTAGCACCGAAAAAACTGGCGCCCTGCCATGGCTGGCGCATGCCCGGCCTCCAAGTCACGTTCATCCGCTCCCAGCGCAAAGGTCCAAACGTCGCTGAAGTGAGGGCCTGCCATCGAACGAAGTGACGGCCCATCGAACCAGATCGAACCCAAACGGTGTGGAAGAGGGAAATGGGCGAGTAATTGGGTGAGTATTAAATTAGGGAGACCTCCCCAAAAAAACCCATGGACATCCATGGAAGAATGACGATATACGCTAAAAGACTAAGATTGGTTGAAGATCTCCCTAGCCAAATGCACACCCAAACAGGCTTCCTCAGGAACAGTCTTCCTGAAGAACATTTTTGGAGGTGTCTAGCTTTGCCATGCTGTGCCTATTTCTATCTATTTCTCGTGCGTTCACATGAAACTCGTCCAGGATTGTTTCCCTTCCCACCTGGGGAGTACGGTGTGAGAAGTTACCAAGCGCTTTGCTGTCAAACCTGCGCCGAGCCTGGCTTCGCGACCGTTGTTCGACTCGTTCGTCACATCACATGTTTTGTGTTCAATGCTGGGCCGTGAGGTTGTCCCTTCGCACCTTTGCCAAAGCATTCAGTGAATCCCTAGCGCGTTGCGCGCTGTGCAGGACAGGGGGTTGGCGACATGTGCGTGCTCCATCGACAAGAGGGTGGACGGCTCGAGGATTACGGTGCTGCTGAGTGCTGAGGTCGGTGACGCGAGAGCCGAGAGTGCTGCCGTGGTCCGAATTCGAAGTGACCGTCACGACGCGCCATGTGCACGACTCGCCATATGTTGAATCTCGAGTTTCTGATGCGTGAATATGTTTCGCTTCTGTCAATGGCCATGAAAGGGTCATTATTTTTGGTGCTGCCAACTCGACTGCTTGCTACGACAAATGAGAAAGTGTAAAGTTCGACAAGTGCGCCCTTACTGCAAAACCGGCGTCCCCCTGCATGGGAGCATCTCGTGGCACTGTCCTGCGTCTGTCCTAGTGGCTCGACCAAATCCACCGGACGAGGAACTTGGATTGGCCCGCTTGCAACGACGCCGCGAAACACGTGAGGAGTTCCCATGAACTGGCATTGCCAACACCTGGCGTCCAGGCCATGGGGGTCCAGGCCGTTGGCATCATTCTGAGGCGTCCAGGCTTTTCAACCTTCAACTGGATGACATTGAATGACTTAAACCCTGTGGATCCCTGTGGGTTCTGCTTGAACACCAAACCCCTCCAAAAAACAAACACACGTCTGGAGCATACTAAATTTAAGTTTGAGCAAGTGGAATGTCCATGTTCTCAAATCCATGTGCCGTTCTGTGCGCATACTGCCAGAATGTGTCACAAGGTTCAGCTTTTGGGGTCAGTACTGGGGTCAGTTTATGTGAGACTAATATGTGAGTACACAATTGGTCTTGTCTGTCGGGCCCTTCTGTCTCCATGACCTAGTCACATGACCCCGCCTGTTTTCCAGCCTCCATAAACAACCAGTAGCGGAGCGTGGGGTGCCAAGCAAGCTGCACCATGCATCTTACGCCCTTGGGGAACCTGGGCTTGGTTGCCTCAGCTTGCTTCATTTAGCTGATCACGCGCCGCCGACGACCAGCAACGCCAACTTTGCCAAGTGTCCTTCCTCATCCGATGGCCTGTGCCGCGCAGGCCAGGTCCGCACGGAGGCCAGGTCAAAAATGGTTATAGGCAGCTCGCGGAGTGGTCTAAAGACAACACGACAAAAACAAGTGAAAGTGTCCTTCTTCTTTCATCATGGCCTTGGAAGGGCAGCAGTCAGGTCTCCGGTTACGGTACTTGGAATATCTTGGAATCAGAATTAGGGACCGAACGCCATACGTGGCATGTCGACCAGGTTTTGTGGGGCTTTTAAAAACAATAGCAATAGCAGCACACTCGGTGATAACGAGTTTCTGACAAGTCTCACTAGTGCAAAATACCATTCATGGACGTTTCTACTGCATTTACAGTACCATTTAGTATTAAATTAACACATAGTTATTAAACCCTAGCACCGTCGAAGAACAAAACACACTGAATTAGCATGAGGATCCCCCAATATACCTTAAAAATCCTTTAAACATACCCAATTCTGGTGGACTGGTGGACCCCGACATGTTCCTTCCAACCTCGCCTTCCCGCCCGGGCCGTCCAGCGGTGCGCGTCTCGCGCCTCGCGTGGTGCACGGGCCGCAGCTCCACCGCACCCAAGGCGTCGCCGGCGAGCGCGCGGCGCACGCAGGCCGCAGCGTCCAGGACGCACACCTGGACCACGGCAGCGTGAACGGTCGAACAAACGAACGAGAGTCGGCAAGGGATGAGAGTCCTGTAGTGACTGCGGTTGGGAATGGATCCCTATAAGTGCATGTCTATGGTTTGCAACTATATTTAGCAACTCCTGTCCTCGCCTGTCCTCTTGATTGAAAGTGAAACATAGTGAAAATTTCAACAAGAGGAACAAGGTATAACAGTAGATAATAGTATAACAATTCCAAGCAAAAAGACTCAAAAGAGTAAGGTGGATTGGGGACAGTTGGTTTATACAACCCCCAAACAAAAAGGCTTTGCAATCTCCGCGTGGAAGGTTTGATTTATCAATTTCTACCTTATTGTGCGGACGCACTGCATGAGAAAACGGCCAGTCTCACGAGGCACTTGCCGCGTACCACCAAGGCACTCCAAGGGACAGCGGCACTCCAGCGGCCCGCTTCCCCTTTGGTGACAGCTGATCAAGATCACGGAAGTTCATTTTTCGCACCTTTCCCTCGGAGACCCTTAAGTGGCCGATGTCCATTCTTCGTTCCTCAACCACCTCACCGTCCACCCAAAACACCTGACCCCCGCCTGGTTGCTGGGACGCCGGCCGCCCCCGAAGATGAGCAGTTGGTTTCCCAAACCACGACACGCCGTGTGGTGTCGTCCCGGCACGTCTTCACCCCGAAGCCTCAGTAAGCAATTCGGCGCGCGGCAAGACGCTCGGTGTGGTGTTCGTGCGGTGTCCAAGAGTCCAGAAGGGAGTGATCAAAGAAAATTGCAAGAATTGGCTGGTTTTGTGACACGACTATGAAGCATCTGCCTTATCTCTGGTCAGGTTGAACGTGTCTCTGGTCAGATTTCGATTGGCACACCACAGGACCTTGGCATTACCCCCACAAGCTTGGTCTGAGTTTCTCAAATGAGTTGTGTGAAGCCTCTTCAACGAATGAGAATGATAACTACTACGATGATGACGCCGACAATTCTTATTGATGGATCGTCCCAAGCTTGCTTGCAAAAGGGTCCCATGGTATATAAACAGTTGCCAAATATTGCCCCATGTTGGTCGATATCAGGTAGGGATGGTAGGGTTTGGCCTACCCTCGTCTGTACACTGTACCCACATCCAAATAAATCATCAGTCTTCTGCAAATGAGGTGGCTGAAAGCATTTTCGCCCCGCTAAGTCGCCCCGCTAAGTCGGTGATGAGGCCCGTATGACCCCGGATGACGTACACGGCAACCTCCACGAACAGAAAGGACCTATGCAAAAGTACGGATACATCCTCTCTTGGAGTCCCATCTCTCACCACTTGATCACTTGCCGAAAGGATTCAGCTACCAGCAGCTACTGGAACTACTACTCCCACAAAAAAAAGGTGCACATGCCGAATTAGACATAGACACTCCGCAGGTTGGGGAGATATAATTTCTCCCACCTGGGCGGCTTCTACCGGTGGTCTGAACCAAACCGCCCAGGTGCGCCAGGTGGCTGGTAGTGACCAATCCACGTCCATGTCTCCACACACAGCACTGAGACGTCGGAGAAGTCTCGCACACCCCAAGTCTCCAAAATGTTGCCGGTGCCACCTCACAACACGTCTCTTCATTTCCTCTTCAATCATATTGAACCAACAATGACCAACACGTCTTTTCAATATGTTATGGCTACTGTTATGGCTACGGCTATGGACCAACATGTCTGGCATCGCTGATGGGACGTGGCCCTTTGGCACAAAGACCTCTAAAATAAAATGAATCATCACTGCTGTGCTCTTTGGACATCCCGGTTGTTGAATGTACGTTCCGAGGTAAACACGTATAATTATTGAAACCCAAACAGGAATCATATGAATCATTATGAATCATATTGAATCATACAGTACATCTTGAGAGGGGATGACTCGCTCCACAAATCGAGTGACGAATCGCTGCCCGGCCGTCCCATGCCCAGCCTCCAACAACAACCACATAGCCCTTGCCATCCACTTCCTTATGGCGACCGCATCATGCACGCGCGAATGGCGCGCGGTCGGAGGGACACAAAACTCTGGTGTTCACCCATATATGCACCTGCCTTGTCGAACCATGTCGAACCACTCCTGAGTGGGTGGAACAGAATCACATGACCAGCCTCAAGGAGAACATCCCGGATTCACGAAGCGTTTCACCGTGGACAGAAATGCACCTCACAGAATCCAAGTTGAAAGTCACACGAGCGACCTGCTAACGAGCCCAAAGTCGAAGAAGGTGCTGCTGTGCCCATGCCGTGGGTTCATCTCCCAGTCCTGCCGAGACAGGCAAAACAGGTGAGACACGGGATAGTTCGACAGCCCCAAATCAGGGACTGAAGCAACATGAAGCAACTATGCTCAACTTCCCGGACCTTTTCCAGACCCTCAACGACTTCCCAATGGTCTTAGTTTGGCCAAGACCCCGTTGCCTGTGGTGTTTGGGCATCTCCCGGGCAGGATCGGTCCTCTCCCAGCGCGTCACTCTTCTGCAGGGTCAGCGGCTGCCACTGCCAGTCCTGCAAAGTGAGGAGTTCCTGAGTCCAAGCGGCCGAGAATTGACAGGGGTGGCGCGAAAACAACCACGGCATGGTGCCACCCATATATTTCTACTGTAAAGGATGGGTGGGCCGGGCAAGCAACGCACAGCAACCCGCGTGAGGGGGCCGGACTAAAATAGCAGCTTTGCGAGGTCGGAACGGGCGGCTGGTACGGCTTTTGGGACGACCACCGGCAGCTGCGGCATACCGGCATACCGTCTAAGGACCATGCCTGGCATCGGGGGACTCTTGCGCCACCGATTTCAATGTGACATCATCGTTCATCCAAACTGCCGGAGTGAAGGCATGAACAGATTTGCCAGAATCGATCCATTATGGCCTTCAACAATCCCGGAAGCTGAGCAAAAGCCCGAACATCGAGGAGTTCATGATCTAACATGCAGCACCCAAGCTCCTCCTCTAACGAGCCATCCGTTTGAAGGGCTTGCACTGGTTGCACCCTGAGCATCCCTGAGCTGTGGTCCACAACCCGCCCCCCCAACCCGCCAGGGATCCGCGGTGGCCAGGCTTTCGGTACAGTGCGCCGTGTGCCCGCCGAACAGGAGCACGGCGCCCTCGGCGAGCTGCGTGAACCTGGCGGATGCGCAGGTCAGGCCGGGCGGAACCCGGTGCAGCGAAGGCGGCCGGCGAAGCCGTGCCTCTCGGGGAGGTAGGTGGCCGTATGCGCGCAGCGTGGGGTTGGAGTATGCGACGTCAAGCCTCGAGGTGCAAACTGCTTCAAGGTGAGTGGGCAAGCAAACAAGCCACATCACACATAAAATTGATACAACATGATTCAGGACACAACGCTTCCTGCAAACTCATGTTTGCTGATTCTTATCCCCAACAAATGGTGCGTGTGAGGCGAACAATAACCAACCAACCGACCGACCAACCAACCAACAAGCACTGTCTTTGGTCAGCCTCGCCTTCTAGCAACTCAGGGCTTGTGGGATAACTCAAACTTGAGCGATGCCGTGCACATACAAACCAAGCACGTGCTTGCAAGGGAGCTACTTCAAGCTAGAGCGCTCAAATGCGCTCAGTGTGAGCGGAGACAATCAGTTCCTTCAACGGTCATTTCTTGGATCACGATGGATTGCGCTGGTGTGCCCAGCTTGTGTCGTATGGCAGTGAGACAACGCTTGCAGCAAGATGGATTGGTCCGCACACCTACTTGAGTCACCAGGACCATACCAAATATCTCCAAGAATCAGGCAAGAAGGCTTACCGTAATCATGCCTATTCTTGCCATGTAAGCATCGCGGTGACCTCACCAAGAACACCACAATATACTTACATAAAAACATGCAATGGCAGTCTTAGATCTACGTTGCATTCAGTGGGGCAGTCCATACTCTTTGACCACCCTATAGATGCTCAGTTCATGTGCCGGCGCCATCTATTCATTAGCAAAGCTACTAGTAACAAGGGCATTGCTACTAGGAACAAGTGTATCGCTACTAGTAGCAAGAAGCTACCAGTATATAGCTAGGGCATCGCTACTCGCTGCTAGGAACAAGTGCATCGCTACTAGTACAAGAAGCTACTAGTAGCTAGGGCATCGCTACTAGTAACAAGGGCATTACTACTAGTAGCAAGAAGCTACTACTAGTAGCAACGTCTTTCCAACTCCTGGCCTTTCTCCTTCGCTGAAGGTCGTCCCCACAAAATACTCGTGGTGTCTCCACCTGAGCAAGTCATGGAGTGAACATGGCACCCTGTTTACGAAGTCTCCAAGAAGAACTGTAGGACATAAATGAAAACATGGAAATAACATGACCCTCCAAGCAGTAACTGCACCCCTGTCCAAAGGTCTAAAAACTGAGACTCTGGGTACAATCTCCAAGCCATTCCAAGCTCCAAACACCGGCGGCCTGGCACTTCGCGCAGCACTCCGATCGCCCAGCTGTTGTGCTCATGGCGATAGCCGCCACCCCCGCCGCCGAAGGCCATGACCTGCCATGGGCCCCGTGTCGTTCCGTGCCCAGTGTGTAGAGGAAAATCGTCTTCCAGTCTGGTCCATGGCATCTGGTTCCATGTGGGTCTCTTCCCGGGTTTTATATAAGACAATATCAAGAAACATGGAAAACATCATGAAAACACCCAGGGGCCCAAGACTGAGGATCATCAGACTTGTTCTGTTGCTCATCCTCCAAAGCAGGGTCAACAAACGTGTAGAATTGCGCAGGAACAAAAAGGATATGCGGAAGGCGAATATAATGTAGACATGAAGCCTTGAAACATGTCCGACACGAAAGGCGCTTTCTCCAAGTGTCTGAGAGGGTCAAACCACCTCACATCGCGGGATTTCAACATCCTCTCAGCTGGTATTGGCTTGTGCCCACTGCTTCCTACTTCTTTGCTTAATTGGTGGAGTGGTACTCTGATCCTGCCAAAAAATGGTGGCGCATGGTGGCGCTGAACAACAACGCATAGACATCGTATGCTGATATAACTGGGATATATAAGTTGTGGGGTCCAAGTCCATGGGCTATACAGTCGTCTGTTGGAGGCTATTGCTACTTGGCACGACTCTAGTGCCCTGCATTTCCCTGAACTCACCCTGCCGCCCCGCACCAGTGCAGCATCTTCCTCACATGCGGCGGTGGCCGGCCCCCCACGGCGGAGCTGGGACGCCTGCGGCGTGAGGAGCGTTTGGCGCGAGCCCGTGGTGACCAAAACAGAGGATCCTGGTCGCAAATGAAACCTCTGTGCGAAACCCGTGGCATGCCAAACCCAGCCGTTCTCATGCACATCTGCGACTTCTATTCTCCAAGTCTCGAGGTTCCTACACTTGTCTATAATTATAGTATAGGATTCATTTCTTCAGTTCATCCATAGCTTGAAGAGTGAGACAACTCACAGACGAGTCCGCCCCTACCCCTCCACCCATCCACCCACTCTCCGCGCCGTCTCCGCCACAAAGGACCGGGAGGGCGCATCCAAGGTACCAGACTCCGCCCAAAGCGGGGTGAGACTCTGGACCCCCCCAGGCATCGCTGGAGTGCCAGTCGCCTGCCAACGGCGTCGCGGAATACACCGCGGAGTACGTAGCGGAATGCGTGGAAAAGCAGGGAACACCATTAAGCTTAAGCGCGAGTGCAAGCTGTTGGTCTCTACACGTTTGGCACCAAAAAACATGACTTTGACCTTGTGAGAAACATCTTTGAACGACAAAGGCTTGCAAATAATTCAGCCAAATCCCAGGCTTGCGCCTTGCCTCAACACCAATCCTTGAGTTCCCTAGGCCCTAGGGGAAACGAAGTTCAACGCTTCAAACACCGCCTTGCACGTGCTCCGTGGACCAAGCGTGACAACACAGAACCCATGCGTAGCAGAGTCAGGGTACTGCCTTATTGTGGGACAAAAGAGAAGGCAAAGTATGCCTATGTGAGACTGCTGTCGAATCAGCTCGATTCAAGAAGGCCTATAATATGTGTCTAAACTTTGATCATTACAAAGAATTCATGGGTTTTCATGCCCGACGATGTGCACGTTCGTGAAATTATGTGAAACAGTTTGAACAACCGGAAGGATAAACCACTCTCAAAACAAATTGAACAGGAATGGCAAGGACCATCCAACAGGATCATTCCTTGGAGGCGGTTTGTGGTTCACACCTGGCCCACACATGCCAAATAGATCCAAAATAAATCACCAAGAAACCGTAAGAAATCCTTTGGGTGTTGGATCTTATTCGATCTCAACATGGGTATCGGCATGTATCATCATTTAGTATCCATAGGGCTATTGTTAGCCAATAACATATCCTTTCTGTCAGGAAGTGGCAGTTGACGTGGTGTGGTTCACATGGCAAAATATGCGAAATGAATGGTCACCACTTAAGAATAAGGACGCACAAAAATGAAGTCCGAGATGCTTTGGTCCACACCCAACTCTCGCCTGTGCTCGCTGAAAGCGCCAATGGTCGGCACTGTGGTCGTGTGCGGCGTTGACCACCGAAGAGATGGGGACCCAATGGAGGTCTGTCTGAGGTCCTGCATCGAGGACAGTTACTGTAAGCATTAGCAAGAAGGTTTCTGCACACTCGCGCTTGCTTGATCACTTGATGCAGCCTCGCAACCAAAGAAAGAGGAAGTCAAGAGTCAAAGAAAGTCAGAGCATTCTTTTCCAAATTCAAAGGCTAATCCCTCACCAACGCCCCTTTGCAACTCACGCATGCGGTCATCACTGCTGGTCGATCGGTGAAAGCAATCCGAGCCGACATCCCACCAAAAAACTCCTCCATCAATCCATCCGCCATAGCCTGAAGCTTGAGCAAAGCTCCGCAAATGAGTTATGAGTGCCAATAGTGAATGTGATAGCTTATAGCATTATCTGCATATTTAAGTTGTGAACCGGCTTGGGCTGCTACATGAAACACAATCATATGCTAGGGTCTAGGGCCTTGTTTGGGGCTGGCTCCGTTTTGATCCACGTCCAAACAGGTGGAGGGGGCTTGGCTGTCCTTTCTGTGCCGTTGTTTGTGCATCTTGTCGGCTGGCGGTCCAAAAAATCGATCCCCTTCCGGAACCTGCTCTGTCTGAGCAAAAGCTCGTGCTTAGTCACAGAAGAGCTTCTCGCCCGAGGGGTTGACGAACAGCTGTGGCGCTGCCACGCGATCCCGCAGCCCGTGACGTTGACTGCTGTAGCACCACACGCCGGTCCTGGCGAAGGGCAGCTGAGGTCGCATCTACCCTACAACAACCTTGAACCTTGTCAATGGAAATTCATCTGGTGGCGAAAGTTGGTTGAAGGATGTTAATAAAGGACGGACATTCAAAGACCCTTTCAAACAACATGGGGCTATACCAATTTTCAACCCGACAATGCTCCAATGTTGATCCCGTCGACCAGAAAACACCAGTCTATTTGCACATATTACCGACAGTGTTCCAGTTCCGTCACTATGGATTTCCATGGATTTCCACTTCAATTTATCAATCTACTATTTGACCGATTTTGTTGTCAAATTCATGTCATTTCGGACCTCCATCCACATCCCCAACCCTTGCCACCCGCCACCTGACCTGGCAGCTTGAACTCCCAAAAGCTGTCGATAGCTCTGGCGCCACGTGGACCCAGCCAGCGGCGCGGGTAGGCGCTCCGCAGCGAACTCCAAGTGGCACCTACGTGGAGAAACCAGTGGGTGCGCGATGAAACACAACGGAGTGTCTGAGACGCGCTTGGAGTGTCGCTCCGTTTTTGATGCATCGCAACGCGTGCCGTGGGCGCGCCTGGTTTTCCACCAGGCGTCCGTGCAGCCTGTGCGCCAAGCTGCAAGGCCGGTGGCCTCCAAACGCCAAGCCATCCAACCAGGCAAGGAACTCCTGAGCCCGAGCTTTTCAGCTGCTTTTTGTGCCTATTTCTCCAGAGAGGGGGTAGAGCGGTGTGTTATTCTTCATTCTGCCTGTAACAAGATTCTAGGATTCAACTATAACAACAGGACACATCAGTACACACTCTCTGCAGAGTCGCTGGCTGTCTCCCAGCTGTCAAGCAGCATGGATCAGTGCACTTACCTTTGGGTCGTAAATCATTTGGACTTTCTTCCTCAGGCCAGGCACAAGATCTGAAGCAACACCTCGTCATTCAGCTCCGTCAAGGACCAGGATGCGGCCTCCGCGCCGCTCGAGGACGCCGCGCCCTCTGACTGCTCCGACGCAGCGGGCTCGGTGGCCGCGGCGGACTCGACCAGCGGCTCAGAGAGCTCTCCCAGCTTCCGCTTGGGCATGCCTGGAGGGCCGAACAAAGCCAATGAGTGAACCATATAGAAACACATCAAAAGTGAACATACATATAAATGAGTGAAAGCCATAGTGAGTGAAACACATCAAAATTGATAAGACTTTACATTATTTGCCAACATAGGGTGTAGTGTCTTGATTCGAAAAGCCCTCAAGCAAACAGTTGAGGGACGTACCATGTATAGCAAAAGAAGGTCGGCACCCCCAGGGAGGCTAGTGCAAGAGTTGGACAGGAAAAGATTTGTTGTTCTTGTTCATTTCCTTCTGATGAGGTCTGAGCATGCTTCTTGGGAGTTGAAACACTTAGCCCAGAATGACATCTTAAGGGGACACACCTCAATATTAAAACAACACAACAAATATGTGTATATATATACACACTTGGATATTGTCTGATAGTGTATGATATCGTTATGTTACATGCAAATCAAGTTTGGCATCCAGGATGAACTGCTCAAACGGATTACATATCAAGCCCCCCCCACCACTGGACTTCATCCCTGCACCATCTCTCACCCTGTCAGGGTATCCATATTGTATCATTCCACTTCCACCGCTATTGTATCCATCGCATGACGTCGATCCCTGTCGCCTTGATCAGTGATAGGCTGGCCAAGGACTTGTTGGCATGCCAACCTGAGAAGACTCCTCAGCTTTACCAGTCTGAAAATGAAGGATGATGTGGGAAGGCTGACCCGACTGCAATGTCACCGAGCTACGGAAGATGGTATGTTTCTCTGTTCTCATTGTGATGGCATAGGGGCGGCATTGGGGTCCATGAAAGACATGCGACACATTCACGTGACAAGGATGCATCAAAAGCAATCCGAAGAAACAGGCAAGGATCCTACCATATCTCAGTCGTCTCCCCCGAAAGCACAAACAACGGTTTGCCTGATCTGACCCTTTTGGGGCCAAAGCAGGCTTCTGAGAGTACTAGGAAGAGTGGAAGAAAATGACAAAGACCCCGATCGCAATTGTTTGGTTGGACATTCAATCAGCCTCACTATCCCCTCACATGCGAAGACGCGCCAAGCAGCTGACAGAAGTCAATAATGGAAGAAATGCACCTGAGCTGAAGGGCCCTGGACTGTCAAATGACTGAAGCCTTTTCGAGTTTGTGTCCATCTACATGTCGTCTCATCATGAAGTATAGGCTGGTGGTCTTCTTTCCATTCCATGAAGCCCGAAATTCAACAAGCATGATGCCACAACACCAATAAGCAAATTTGAGTGCTCCCTTCCCCTAGCAAGCAGACGCTTGTGCCGCTGGACAATCCAAATATAGTTAATAATAGAATGCAAGTTCTAAAACCACATACACACATAACATATCACAACCCCCCCAAAGGAGCATCTGCCTGGTAGATGAATTCAGTGTCCATCTTGCAAACCCATTGCAGGTGGATTGCTAATTAGGTAGGGGTTGAGAGAGCAAAAAACGTACATCCACTGCGTCGTGCGCCTTGCAAAGCCAGTGTGGTTTGGTTGCTGGTTTCACTCGTTTCGCCCTGCTGGAGCTTCTGCCGCGCAAAACAAACGATTTCTCGGTTCAACGATGGCAAAAGGATGTCTTCCGGCTAGGCTCGGATTGGTTTGTTTAGGGGGCCCCTTGCATTTCACATCCTCATATTTAATCAAATTCCCATACCAGCCCCAGCCCATCGATCCACAGCCCCAGCCCAGCCCGTCAGGCTGCCGCGTGGCATGAATCTGCGCCTTCTGTTGAAGCGTTCTCAGGCTGTGCATCATCATCTACGTCGAGCACAAACAGCTTTCCGGCAGCTATAGTATTCCGGTCGCATGGCAATGTATGAAAACAAAGGAACATGGACATCATCAACTCAGTCCCATACTGGTCGGAAAGCTGGTCACTATTTGGCTTTGCCCTAGTGCTAAACACAAGTGCAAGCCTGGCAACACTCCTTTTGACCCAGCAGCTCTTCAGCTTCTTTGGGCCCCAGTGGGTTCCTTTTGTTGCATGTGGTCACGAGTTCTGTGTGGCTGTCCTGTGGAACCCGGAGAAAAAGAACGCTGTGACAAGCTGTCCCTGCTGGGCCAAAGCTATACTATATTAAATCTTTGTCAGCTTTCCTAAGTAGTCCAGGCACAAAAAACCAGTCATTGTGGCTCCAAAAATTGTGTCAGTCGACCCTTCATGATGTTGACCTATATACTCAGAGTTACTGAGTGGATCAACACCTGACATTTTGCCGCAGTGGCATTGTTGAACGTTTTCTCAATTCATGATCGTGCCAGCATCTTCATGACGGTTCACCCACATCCCCAGAAAGTGGTTGGGGTGGGTGCCAGGGAGGTCTAACCACCGAACCCTACACCGCCGAGTCCCCGCACAGCGACGGCCGTGATATCGTCCACGGTGTCGTTGTACGAACCTTGACACGAAGACTGGCAAGCTTTGGAGATATTCCTGGGAACCAGAACAAACCAGAAACAAATGGTTTTTCTTCCAATATGGGTTGCTTGAGATCCTTTACAATCCCTTACATATAGCAAATGGCTGCTTGGGTCTCCAGGTAATTATACGATATTATACGTATATATTTAATTCAGTCATAACTCTGCTCTCATCCAAAGCCATAGGACCCCCTACTCTTCGGCGTACCTCTGCAGTCAACTCTGCCCCCAATAGGTCCTCATTGTCCTCTGATTGTTGCAAGTTGGCATGCCGCCAACTAGCATCCCATCTTTGGGAGATGAGCAAACACCTGGACTCACTTGAACTACCCTCCAACCCCCCCCAAAAAAAACAACAAACAAATAGCACGTGTGCCGTGTGCGTAACATTTGTGCCACCTTGGTCTGCCTTTCCAGGGCCATCAATGGCCGTTCTGCTCCGCTCCACCGAGCTCGCCGCTCCGAGCCCAGCGTCGTCGTGCCACGGAGCACACGTCCTACGTGCGAAGGACACCCGGAGGAGCCGACCATCGAACAAAGGGACGCGGAGATCACATGTGGAGACGTGCATTGATCTGGCATCTGGGAGACAATTGCAGACGGGCTTCATTGGATTGGTGTGTTTTTCATTGATCTGGCATCTGCGGTCCTCCAAGACCTCATCTGAGACACCCTCGGTACCTGACCAAGTGCATCTCGCCGAACCACTGGCAACTGTTGTGATCTATTTGGCGGACACTCACCCCGCGAGGGCGACCCCAAAATGCACTGGAAATCATCGGCGGGCCCCTGGTCTGAAAGGTGCATTGCAAAGCAAAGTTGGCCTCCTTTTGAGTCCTTTGTGAGGAAAAAAGTGGCACGTTCCTGGGATCCAGACATAAACGCGTAGCGACTTCCTTGGTGCTGCAGAACTCAAAGAGTCCTGGAGGCGGACATGATCTGACGACCAACGACCGGTGCCTTCAAGGAGTTTGAGGATGCCAAGGTATAGCCAACCCGAACTCACTCCCGCTGTGGACCGTGGGAAGTCAACCACCAGCTAGGTGGATGGGTCATTTTCAAATACGCTGTCAGGGAAGGCCCACTTGCAATGGGGGCAATCCGAAAAAGAATGAGGGAAGAAATGCACGGCTCTCGTTTTTTTTACACATTATTTTACGTGATAGTCTGATCACCTTCTGCGCTCCAAAACCCGGTCTATACTCTATGCATCTCTATACCAAGTCCGATGAGAACTTGGAGTGCTTGCGCCTGGCGGCTGAAAGGGATGGACCTCTTGGACTTCGCCTCGTCTGTCTCCACAAAAACACCTCTAACATATTGAAATCACCTCACATGGAATGCACCCCAATGCCAAACACACCAAGGGACAAGCACTGTTGTTCGTTGAATTCTGTTGATCTACCTTGCTTTTCTCAAGGTGCCCCCTTGAGACACACCCTGACACCACGAACGCCGCCCTGGTCGAACCACCGCCCGCCGCGGGAAACACGCCGTCCGTCGGTGCCCAGCACCAAGAGCTCGTCGGAGCTGTTGGCCAAGCGCACCGAGGTCACCTGCCGAGCAGCATCCGTTGAACGGAGAAGGTGGGATCCGACCACCCGCTCAAAATGGATCGACTGATCACATGGAAGTGGATCGCCAAGGAAGGGAAAACCACTCTATAGCATAGCACTGGCACTCTCTATAGCATATTCCATCACATGTGATGGATGGGGGGTGGCACACCTCACATGGAAGTGGGAAACCACCCCCCCTCTTTTACTAAAAGTCGTCTTCCTTTCGGGGCCAGGCCATCCACTTCCATGTTAGTGAGCTGGAATGTACTGTAACTATTTTGTTGTTGCTTTTGGATGGGATCTTCTGACCCAGATTCTTTGCGAGCTGGGAAGGGGTCTCCTTTCAGGAATTTTAATCGGATGCATTCTATAGATGCCGGATGATTTTGAAGTTTCTGATGCGGCTGATGCGTTCTTATGGTTCGATGTAGGTCCTTCGCAGGGCTTGTGTGGAAAATGGAAGGTTAAGTGCAACTCGATGTGAGCACTCTTCGAAGGCAGGAATCGAGCAGTAGGACTTATAGGGACCTTCTGCACACTTTGAAAATAGACCATCCTGAAAAGGGTTGCAGGGATCCACATCTGACCATCCAAAGGCTTTGAGGGCCATCCACCATCTTCTTTGGGTGCGCCGCTCATCCCTCATCCCACCGGTAAATAAGGAAACGGGTGACCAATGGCATGTCGCTATATTCGGCTCTTGAACCAAGCTGGACACTTGAACCAAGTTGCAATGGACCATTTCATCTTTGTTCGTTGTTCACCATGAACGGCAGAGCATATTTCATGATGAGCCAAGCTCTTTCATCGGCTTCAGCTCTTCCAGGTCCTCCCAGGTCCCCCAGGCTGCCGCCGCCTCAGGCTCGCTGCTCACGCCACATGTGCCGGCAATGGAGGCCCCCAAGGAGCGAGACAGGGCCATGGCTGGCCACTGGCATCCTGTGGCGTTTGTGGCGAGCGAAGCTGAGGGCATGCGATTGGACCCCTAATGAAGTCCAAGAACAACCGTATGATATATGAATATATGATATATGATACAGTATGTTTCAGAGTAGATGGCACGATCCCCAAAAGGTGGTTTAGATGGACCCCTATCTCAAGGACATCTTGAGGTTTGTGCCATCTACTCTGAGCCCACTGTATATACTGGGAATGGATCGCGTAAGAGTCCAGGCGTCAAGTGACATAGGAATAATGTAGGTAAGTCCTTTGTCGTGTCAAAAAACGTGTTGGCACCTAACCATGAAGCGGCTATAAAGGTGAAGCAGGATGAGATGGGACTTGTTGCACCGTTTCAAGAGCAGCCTTGTACTGGGTTGCATGGGCAAGCTGGTGATGCTTCGCATTATCTTGTGTTTGGCTCTGTTTCCCTGATGACATGGGATTTATACACTCCGGACACAAAGGGGATATATAAGGCAAATGACTAGGCAAATGACTTGGGAACGTGTGAATTTATGTTTATGCTTAACAAATTTCATGTCATCCGAAGGTAGTATATATTGTATGACACCGCCATCAAAACTCTTGGCTCAAATCAAAATTGTACTATTTTTTGGAACATCACCTTTGAAATCCTTTGAAACTTTAAAACATTCAGGAGAACTGAGCCAAAACGTTTTGAAGGGTTGCCTAGCACTGGTTGTTCACTCTTCAAGTCAAACCTCATCAAGGCTTGTGATCGTGACACTCACAAACCACCTCCCCTACCCCACCCGCAGCTGGACTTCCCAGTTCAAACCATACTTTGCCCCACCACTTTGGTGAACACTCCCAGGGTTCTTCGAGCCAAATTTTGGATATATTTACTAGGCTCTCAGCTTTTTGGCTGCCTTGATTGAGGTATCCCAACCCCTCTGGCTACCGGAATCCCACGAAATCCTGGTGCCTTCCGAGACCCATCTCGTGCGCTGCGCCTGGAGCGAAAATGCGGGAGGTGCCACTGCCCGGGCGCAGGCGTCGCACTTCGCCTCCCTCCGCCTGGTCAGCAGCTGAGTCAGCAGCTAGTGAGCGCTAGGGGCCCAAAAGGAAAACACACATCATGTTCCAAATTCCGGGAAACTACGCTATGGATTTGACGTTTTCTCCAAGAAATTCCCGGGAAAGATCGGAGGAGGACCATGTTTCCTGTACCTGGTTGGAACCGTGAGGGCGTCTTTAAGTAACCGGGCTCAAGCTTGCCGAAAAGCAAGGACGTTGCCTTGAAAAGGACGTCGAAATGTCTTGAAATATGCATTGCAAATGGTGTTCATCACAAGCCAGTGGTTCTGTCTTAGAACCCATGCTTTTCTTAGGTCGGACCCCTCTAGGTCACACCCAGTCTTTGGAGCTCTCCTTTTCGCCCAGCCGGTCTCAAGGAACTATCCCAGACACGACCCATGGGACTGCCATAGGACTGCCGATCACTTGGGGTGGTCTTCCTGGGGGTCTGGCTGGGGCGGCAGTCCGGACTGGCAGTCCCAGATAGGTCGTGTTTGGGAATTGTTCCGGCATGTCCATAGTGCCTTTTGGGACACCAAAGATCATCCCCAGAACCCTATGAACATACATGGCAAATTGTGACATACATCGCCTTCGGCCCATGGAAACACCAACCACATCTCCACAAACAAAACAAACTGGATAAACATGGTGCCCCAAACAGGACTTGTAAAAAGGATCCTAGCAGCTTCTATATCAAACCACAATGTGTCTTACTCTTTGACCGAACATTCTTTGTCCCCAACCTTTTGAAGCCACTGTCTCGCACCTGGATGCGTTCGGCTTCCGCCAGGTCATCAGGCCTTGACAAACCACCCCCCGCAAACTGACCATGCGCGGTACCGGTGAACTCGTGAACTCCGAGACATCGGGAGGACGATGCTTCTGAAGACCCAAGAGGTGAACTGCACAGAAGCATCTTTCTTACATGTCTGGGAGTGCGGGGACCTTGTAAATGGCTATGCGTGGAGTTTGTGGACCATGATTTTGGAGTTTGTGGCCTTTTTTTTTGGAGTTCGTGCCCAAACCCTTCTAGGCCCCATTCAACTCCTCTGTTTGGGATGTTTGTGAGGGGCGCCGAAGGGGACGAGTGGGACGGACAAGCATCTTTGTACCTGAACTGGAGGTGGTTGGAAACAAAAACGCCTGCTAACTATATTGTATGATGGCCCATTGTCCATGCCCAAAAAAGACACAGGACAGTTGCAATCAGTCTTAGTCTTGTGGCTTAGGCATCTCTTTGGCATTTGCGCCAGCTGTCTTAATGAAATGTGTCCATCAATGATCGAATTCCCCTCACACCAACGAAACATCTCAGCTGACCCCAAGCCCTGTGGTCGTCATGCTCCCAGCGCCAAGTTTTCGCCCCCGCTTCAAATCAAGCTTCTCATAGTTTCTTAAGGCATCTTAAGGCCATATTTCTTTCATCCCCCTTCATTGGGTTGGATGCTAGGCGAACACCGGTCGGGGAGATTCTTTCTATATCGTCATTAAGGCCACGGTTTGGGCTTTTTTCTGGAATGGTGGGCTCAGGGATTCCCTCAGATCTCCAGCCGTGCTCGACGCTCCCCGCGGTTGGTCGCGCCTGTGATCTCGCGTGAGGCGGTTCACCTCACGGCCCGACCGTGGTCAGGGACGGCGATCGCGACGCCCAAGAGCCAAGCTGCCGAGTCTCAGCTCCCGTTTGAGCTGGGCTTTTGTTTGGAGCCTGGGGAACCAAACATGAACCAACTTGGGCTCTAAGGCAACTGCTCCTTTTTTTTGGCTCAAACATCTCGAACTCAAGCCCTCTCAGTTGTTGGAGTCTACAAAGAAAGAAATGGTCCTTCAAAGGATCGAGACTGGATCTCAAGATCCGAGAGAGAGAGAGAGAGATCGCAGTCTCACGCTCACAGTCAGCGTCTTTCAGCTGCATTCCTCGCATCCTTCAAGATCCTAAAGATCCTTGGGCCGTTCATAGAGCCAACCCAACCGCTTGCGAGGCTCGGCCACGCCGCTCTGCGGCTCCTGGGTGTCCCCCACCGCAATCTCAGAGCGATCTTCACCGCTGCTGGAGACGAGAACCTGCCGGTCCCGTGGCACGCGCGGGATGCGCCCAGGCGCGGGCCCAGGCGTTCATTCATGTCTCACATGTTTGGTGCATAATATGCATAACATGGGTATTATATATATACCTACTAATCACTACCCACTAAGCCATGCCTACTCCAACGTGGGTATATACCTACAAATCACTCCTGTTCGGTACCTCTTCGTGGCCCGGGCTGCCCCATGTCAAAAACGAGTGGCGATGCAGCCATGAATGTCATGTCGTTGTTTTCGCTTTTAAAGTCCTTTTTGTGTTTTTTGCTGGGCGTCATGGGTTCTTCAAGCACTCCACAGCCAAATGCAATACGTGGAGCTAAAAATGGCCTACAAATGCCACAGTAAGTGCAGCTTTCAAGCTGTAGCGTTAAATGCCGATTCCGGATGTATGCAAGAAGATGCAAGAAGCCAGCACAATCAACCGCATGCAGCACTGGTGGTAGACAAATCAACGTCATGTCCCACGACTGGGAACTTTCATGAGCTTCCTGTTTTCTGCTTTCTTCCTTGGGATACCCATCGAGCCCATCAGATCACCGGTGGGGTCAGGTCCCCGGACCGCCCGCGAGTCGCCGACGTTGGCCACGTAGAGCCAACTCTCGCCCTGCGTCCGACCAGTCGACAGGCGTGACAGGCGTCTGATCGGGCCGAGGAGGTCTTGGTATTATAGACCCCCTGAATGGATAGTAGATCCCCACGTCACCACTGCACAGGCAAGCATATATGATCATATATATATATATATGTATAGACCCCTAAATAGGTAGAACAGTAGATCCCCACTAGAAATGTCTTGGACACATCCGGGGACCACTATAAAGGCAAGCATTTCGAGGACGGCCGCGGAGAGACCGCGGTCGCGGTCTGCCTGCATCTCGGGGTCCTCCTCAGAGACCGGAAAGTGTAGGACCTCAGCACTTGGGAGTTGTGACTTGGAAGCTGGATGAAGCCTTTTCAGCAGCTCTGAAATCAAAGACCTGTTTCCTTTGTTTGAAGTCTGTTTGGGGTCGATCTCCATGAGTTATACAAGAGAAAACAAAACAAATGACTTGTGTAGCCAGCTTTTGACATGCTTGTCATTTCTCCATATGGTTTTCCTATGTTGCTTCAAACTATACTTAGCTTAAATAGCATGCCTGCATGTACAGGGACTTGAACAAACAAACATGTCATAGTCATAGTTTCCAAAACCAACTCCCTCCCCGATTGCATGTTCCTCAGTTCCTCTGATCAAACATGAGGCTTCACAGAAGCTCAACATGAGAGCTTACCATGCTTTGCAAGCAGGAATGGCAAAGAACCTGTTCAATGCCCATGGTTTCTTCCAGCACTGGGCTGTGCTTATCAAAGCACCTCGAGAGTTGGGATCTGAGCCTGAATGCATACAAGCCGGCTATGGGGAAGTGGTTTCTCATGTTTTTGGGATGCCGAAAAGTTTGAGTGGTGGGGACCGTATCGTTTTCCACAGAAACAAAGCCCTCAACATACGCCAGGGTCACGCCGTGACTAAAGGAGTCAACCAATGATAGCAAAATATACATCCTAATAGTATCCATCGTATAATAACATATTTAAACAACCAACATCCGGAAGATCGCAGCTCGCGGATCTTAGGTGCAGTCCTAAGACGTCTCCATCGTGGTGCCCTCTCTAGTTGGGGGGCCGCGACATGAGTGATCGGCGTCCCTTGGCCCAAAGGGTTCGCTCCGTTTTCCACGAACTGCAGGGCCCCACAACGGTCAGACTCCAACACAGTGACTGACATCTAACACAGTGACCTCAAATCAACCAACCACCCCTGGCCGTTTCTCGGCCAACTCAGTTACAGTCGCACCTCACCGCACCCGAAAACACCTCGTTCTCTCGGTGCGACGTCGCGAACGACCCAGTGGCCAGTGCCACAGTGGCGGTGGTGCCGCTCGTCTCTGTGTCGAAGTCTTGCTGCCTCAGTGGTGCGGATGGAAGAAGACAGGCCGATGAAAACGAGGGGGCCCGGCCCAAGGTATGTACTTCATCCGTCATATGCCACGTTTTTTTTTGCCAAGCATCATGGTTCTTGACAACTACCAAAGTCTATCACAAAAGGATATATGTTCTATTATTTTCTCCATCTACCGGCGAGGTTAAAAGATGTTAAAGGGCTATGCTCTGTAAACCCAGCACAGGCTGCGATCATTTGAAGCTGAAGCTGGTGCGCACTTCAGCAGGAGTGCCCTACGAATCAAACCCACTAGCATTTAGGATCCTTCCTCTAGAAGGGACAAGGTATGCTGTTTGATACTAATTACATCTAATTACTGCCCTTTCCATCCTTTTCATGGCACTTTCGGGAAGGAGATGTCCCCTTTTTGGAGACACTCACCGTATTGGAGCCACTCCTGCCGCACGGCTCGTCATGGGGCGGCCGGAATCTGAGGTGCCCGCAGCAAGCCTTCCTGCGAGTGAGCTAGCATTTGGCCAGAAGTGGGGAGCGAGCGGGAATCGGCCATAGCATCTTGGAAATGATCATGCAACTTGTGTGGAATGCTATCAGAAAAGTGATCAAGCATGATCTTGCATCATGCAAAGGACATTTGGATATATTAGGCATTATTTCCTCACATTCTTTGCCACGGCTACCGGGTACTGCCATCGTCAGAAAGGAGTTGGAACACATCTGGACGTCATCTGCACTGGACAACCTCTGCATGCATCGCTCAAACGCATACAGTGGACTGAGTTTCAGAGTAGATGGCACTGGCACATCTACAATCCTCTACATGTGATAGAAACATGGGGGTCCACCATCGACATTCGGGGCCATTAAGTTGAGTTCCCAACTCGCTGAATTTTGGAGTTCTCGCTTTAAGCGGGAAGTCTCTTAAGCGGCCCTCGTTCCGAACACGAGCTGTTGGCAAAGACTGCGGAAGGCTTGTGAAGGACATTGCCCTTCCGCAGTCGTTCAGGATTTCTTTGCCTTCTGCATTTCTATGCTGGCTTGTCAGCTTGTCTTCTTTCCTCCATCTGCTTCTTCAGGACCTCAACGTTCCTTCTGTTGCACGTAGCCCTCTCTTGAGGCCACATGATCAGGGATCACCTGGCCACGTGCTCTTCATACATCCCCCATTGTCTGCCAGTTGGCCACGTGCCATCCAAAAGCGGCGGCGCGGCATGTGGCGCAGGCGCCGCCAGCGCGTGCCCGGCCGCGCTTCTGGACAAACAGGGCACCACCTGCGGAACCTCTCTGCATGCGGCTTCTGTGGCCCCCAAATAGATAGTGCGGCTTCTGTGGCCCCCACATTTTGAGCGGGGATCCACTGTTCTATCTACTTTGGGCTCCTCATATAGGCACGTTTCAGGGAGCGACCCACCGGTCGAAGCTGCCCGAGCGGTCGATCGCCTCTGCTCTCCATAAGAGCTTCAACCGCGTGGGTGCTGACTTGCGTCTCGAGGTTCAAAGCCCATGAACAACTAAGGTACAGTAATAGTCTATAGATCCGAAGCTAGATCAGGGTCTCTTCAGGGGGAAGAAACACCAAGAAGGGCCCAACCAATTGCACAAAATCCGAAAATGAAGTTGAGGCCCCACCGGAATATCTGTTGAGCCCTATGTTGATTTTCGTGGGGTGAGCAAAAAGGTAGCCAAGAACAAGGTCCAAAGACTCATCAACATGTCATTCCATCAAGCAGCCATTGAACCCCAGAACCTGCTCCTTAAGCCCAACGCTCTATCGGACAGCAGCTGGATGCCAGCAACCGTAAAAATACAAGATGACCCCGTACATTCAGCGATCTTCAAACACAAAGCAAACTTGAGATAGCTTCTGCAGCACACGGTGACTTTTCTTGACAAACATTTAAATAGCTATCCCTAAACCAATCTTAACAAATAGCCTATATATTATAGGTACTCCCCCTGCCACCGTCACCCACCCAACCATCATGACCGAATGATCCTCCGGTGGTTTTCGTGTCCGAGAACACCGGCGGGACCACTGGTGTTCACCGCTGCTCCTGGACTTGCGCAAAGGCCACTCGGAGAGCTTCCTCTGGCCCTGCGATCAAAGAGCCTTGACCTGGGACTCGTGGCGGTCAGTCGCTGCTCGGCGGGTCCGTCGGACCGTCGATCCTGGGTGGATGGAACGGTGGATTCGGAACTGGAGGCGTTGATGGAACGGTTGTTCCGGGAACAGTACTGCGATTCTGGCTGGACATGTTCTACATATGTTCTACTGGATTGCCACTTGCATATCAAATAGTAACTGTACCTCTCAGGGCTCATTTGGATTTTTGAGCCCCTGCAAAGCAACCCCCACCTACACTCCTCCACTCTCTCCCGACTTGTATCATTGGTGCAAAGGGTGAACCTATCCCAGACACGACTAATGGGACCGCCAAATTTGCCGATCAATTGGGGTGGTTGACCTGGGGTCACTGTAACATAATGTGTCTGTGAACAATATTGAACCATACTAAATTGTGTCAACAACCAATAATACTTGTTTAATGGACCCTGATTTTCAGCTGCTTCCAAACCTTGATTCTGGATTTCTGATTTGGCTGCTGCATTTTGTTTTAATTTTCTTGTTTGGGCATTGCCATTCTTGTAAACTAAAATCAACCCACAAAGACTACCCCTCACAAGCAGCCCAAACCTTCAATTACTATCAATTACTCCAAACCTCAAATAGTACTAAACAAACCCTGCCTGGTTCTTTTGGTGGCTTCCTTTGCAATTCCTTTTAGATTTGCTTGCTTTCTTTTCCTTTCATTTCCTTTTCTGTCCTGTTCTTTTCCTTTCATTTCCTTTTCTTTTCTCTCATTCTCCTTTCATTTCTTTTCATGTTCCTTTCGTTTCCCTTTTGTTCCTTTCTTTTTCCTTTTTTTCAACTTCAACTCCAGATTCTTCTGGATGTAACATTGTTCAGAGTCTACTTGATCAAGGGGGAGCGGGAGTTTAAAACATATGAGGCGGACATTGTTATATATGCACACATAACTACATAATATTACATAATCACATATATATATATATATAATTACACCCGGAAGCCCAAACCGGTCACCGTTTTTTGACTCGCTTTTGGTAGGTGTTCCAGGCTCCAGGTCTGTATATGCCAGTCCCACCGGCCGTAGTACCGGCCGTGAAGGTCACCATGGGTGGCTCGGACTCGGCTCGGCCCAGGCACCGAAGAGACTCTCCGGCAAAACCCCACGGGCAAAGGCTGCGCAGTGGTGACCTGGTGGTGCGGTACAGTGCGACACCAGGGGCCCAATCTCCTATTCCTTTTGGCTGGCGGGATCAACATGAGTTTTGGGGTGCATGATTGGTCCAAGAAACAGGAGGTCCACGCGAAGAGATCGAGGAACATGAAACTGGAAACACCATCGAGTGAGGATGATCCAGCTGTTTCATGGCGTGAATCGAGGTCTGGACAGGTACCGGTGCCCGCTTATCTTGCGGTCGAACGGCCCCTTAAACCGCTTGTTCTTCCAAAATCAGCTTGTTGGCTCACCTACCTTTCGCGACGGCTTGGCCGAGGGGGTGGGTCGGGTCCAAGCTGTCGTAGCAGCTGGTGACCGTGCCGTGCGTGGTTTCGGGGACCCCTGGTGTTTCCCACAGAACAATGGACAGAATAGACTACTAGACATGGTCAACCTACCAGGGCTGAAAGGTAACCTCGAGGTTTTTTCACCCACGGCATCCCACCGCCAAATGGTATCAAGTGGTGCTGGACAAGTACCGTACATACTTTACCTCGTCAATTCTCTCAACATGACTTCATCCTTCAACTGTGTTAAGGTCTAATGTCTTCTCGTCACTAATCAGTGAACCGAGCGTGTCTTTTTGGTCTCCTTCATACAAATGGCATGGAACATCGTGGAAACATTTATCTTCCTCGAGGGCCAAAAAACATCCACCGGGTTGCCTGTTCTTTCTGCATCATCCCAGTATATCCCAATTATACAGGTTGTGGCTCAACAGAATCGAACACTGAGGAAGTCTTGCATCTGGAGTTTCTCGCATGCAAACGACCTCCAAAAAAATGCTGACAAGTGCTGCGATCCAAACACCAAGGCTGATGGCTGCGAAACACCAGGCGCCTGCTGCGAGTCACCTGCTGGTGATGTTTCTTATTGTGTTGACATGAATCCCATTTAGCACCTGCTTGACCATGGCCGTCAAAGACCCCATAGAGCGCCTGGCGAGGTCTCAACAAACGCTCGGTTTCAACCGCGTGCCTTGTCGCCATGCGGTCGAAGCAATGAGCGAGGATCATCTATGAACGTCTTGGAACCGAGACACATGTCACATTGTCCTTGAAATCTAGCAGCATCCTGCCATCCTTTCTCCGAACAATGCCCTTGGTAATATATATCCTGCCATCTTCCTGTAGCTTCTGTCAGACACGACCCTTTGCAGGTTGGAATCCGACTTCAAAGGACCCGTGGCTCCCACCATGGGCTCTTCACCTCTAAGTGAGCAGCCAGAACATCAAAAGTGAGACATACCATATGAAATACACCTCGGGGGGGCAGAGTGGTCTGAACCACCACCATTTCTCATGGCCCCCTCCGCTCCCAACGCTCGGTGACCTATCATGCGTGACCTACGGGGTGACCTGGCCGCCAAACGGTTTGGCAGCTCAAAAGGCGCAGTACCACACACACACACACACACCCTTCCCTTATCATCCCCCTAACCCCCCAAAAAAAGGAAACCCTTTTGAGCCCCAAAAGTGCAAAGGCCAATGCCGCATCCCCAAAAGCGTGCCAGTGAGGCGATGTGCCCATCATGTGCCAAGGAATGCCTGGCTAAAACAAAGTCGTCCTGGTTGGGGACACCAGCGTCAGCCTTGCGGGTGAGACATGCAGGGAGTGGCGATGTCAAAATCGATGGATGGGTGGCCCTGACATTGGAAAGCAACTGGTGCGCCCGCCCTCACAAACTGAACCAAGAAACGAAGAGAGATTGGGTGTACACCACCCCCCTGGGCCCAGTGGATGATGGTTAGTAAAGGCCTTTCGCAAACATAGTGATAATGCATTATTAACTGTACAGGTCATGGGACACACACACACACACTAGACCATGGCTTCCATGCTTGTCTAAGCAAGGGTAGTCAATTGAGATTTGAACATCTTCAGCGGGAAGCTGCAGCACGCTATAGCGATAGCAGCATCTGTTCTCCACTCTAGGGGATAGCAAGGATGGAAACGGTGCTGCTGCGGGCACCGTTTGTGGGCATAGCTGTCACAGCACCTGTGAGCCGAAGCACCCACCCAAGCGATCCCATGGACCGTGAGTTTATAGACCCCCTGAAGGCTATTCTCATCTACCACCCAGTGCTTTTGGTCCATGCTGCAGGGTGGACTTCCCCATTCAGCCATCCGCATGGATGGCGCGCTACCCTTCCAGGTTTCAGGACCCACAGCGGTTTCGTGGAACCTTAAACCACCTACATCAACGGCCACTTGTGCAATTGACCCTCGGGTGACAATATGGATAAGCTCCCCTACAGTTAGCAGCTGTTCACCTTGGCTCTACGGTTCACTTCAGGCCAGTTGCATGTTGAAAGCAATCCTGATAAGCGACACAGGAGGAACGCCCAAGTTAAGGTGGTCAAACTGTGTGCAACATCTATATACTCTGGCCATCTCTGGCCATACTGCATCTCAGTGTTCAGTCATGCCCCTCACCCGTTTTAAGTTGACTGGAAAATCCAAATCAGGCCGCCAGCCACTTGCAGTGGCAACTGAGTGTCCCCCACTCGTCTGCCGCGAGTGCACACGAAGGCAACCCCTCATGACACAGGCACCGTGGGAAGACGTGGCCAGGAGTTGTCCGGCGGATCTTAAGTGAACCCATTTGTTGTTCTCTAGGTCAAGAAAATCTACTACGTTGGTCAGGTATTCTTCTTCTTTGACTTAAGATATGCAATACATAATATATATATATATTTAGTAATATGAACATACGAACTGGTAGTTTTCTGCGACGACCAGATTCTGAAGCGTTCATGGATAACAAGTCGGACGAGCTCAAAAGGACACACTTTGTTTTAATTTGAATACTTTGAACTGGGTCAACCACCATGTGAAGGCCAGTCAAAAGCTCACTTTTTGGTGGAGCTCTGGCTGAGACCACACCCCCCCAAAAAAGCAGCAACACAAAGGCAATCATATTGGATGCGGGTCAAAACACCGAGCCCTAAAGCCTGGCAAGTGGACCATGTTGTTTTGTAGTGAAATTCTGTTCACTTCGGATTGGTGGTCACCGGCCTTCCCCGGTTTTGACCCATGGCCCATAGCCATATTGAAACCCTACCGCATCCCGGCTTCGGCCCGTTTCGACACTCCTCCGCTGCTTTTGGTCACCAACACCAACAGCCCCGATCTCGGGGCCGGGATCGCCTTCACGTCGGTGTCTCGGTCACGTCGTCGAACGTCGTGCCCCGGTCCGTTGTCGGTGTCTCCAAAGCGACGCCGCGTCGAGCCCGGTCCTCGTTGTCGTGCACAGGCGACCGCGTCCTGGAGAGTTGAACGGAGAAACACGTGCTTCTCGACGAGTCAAGGGCGACCACACTATTGGGAGTGCATGTGGAGCTCCGTCCCCAGTTCACAAGGAAATGGCCTTCCAAAGGGTGCGAGCTCTGGTTCTTTCAAATCAACCTGACTTGTCTATATATACATAGTATATATCGTATATAGATATTATAATATACTAGCTATATTATTACATTATATTATATACATTGAATTGGTTCAATCTTCAAGGACTGGAACAGAATTTCCAGGAAGTTTCTCACATGTTGCTGTCACATTCCCTCTCCGTCTCTCTCTCTCTCTCTGTGGCGAGTCTGGCTGTCAATCAGCCGTCCCACAGGGACACTCGGCTGGTTAAAACAGAAATGTCCCCTCATTCACTACGGAACCATGATTCCGAAGGATGATTATTGGGTCTCTGCGTTTTCTCCTTTTCTCTCTCCGAGGGGCCATGAGGCTCAGGGCCTTTATGCCCCTCTGCTCTCCTCTGGGAAGCATGAGACAAGCTTGGGCGCAAAGTCTGCCTGCTCAGCCAGGCGGTCGTATTGGCCTGGCTCGAGCTCTCGGCGCCAGTTGCTGGATGTTGGCCTTGAAGGCTCTGAGTCTTTTCCTCAGATCTTTAAGAACTCCTAGCCAGCATGATCCTGATGAACAAAAGATTCACCTGGTAAACCTGTAGGATCCAACCTGCAACTGCCTGGTGACCCTCACTCTGCGGTTCCCGGTTCCCCCCCAATGGGCCGTGCCTTGGACCACGTACTCCCAAGACCTGGACGTCCCCGGTACTCGTCGTCTGCACCGAGTCGGGTCAAACGGACACGGTGACTTGCGCCTGGGTGAATGGTCAATCGTTGCCAACACGCGCGCCACCGCATACCAAACCAAGACAGGTTAAGTGACCTGAACTAGGACCCTACTGGGGTACCTATGGGATAGTCTATAGGGTCCTTCAACCTCTGTTGGAAGCTCATCTTCTAGGACACAATAGGGCCAACTGTTGGCCCATTTCGATAGGACAGGTGACAGGTGTAGGATGGAATAGGACACTCAAACTGCGGCTAACTCTACCGTCCTCAGCACACCTGGCACCATAAGAAACAAACCTCCAGTATTTCAAGCGACCTCAAACAAGAAACAAACCCAAGCAACCTTCGTGAATACGGATTCTGGATCTCTGGCCCAAAAAGGGTCACGCAGCGGAGCATCCCAGCCAACACACCCTGCGATAGTGCGATCCTTTTCGTTGCTGATTTGTGGTGCGGCCCCGCCTCACAAACACCCCTCTTGCCGCAAGCTGTACTGGGCAAGACTGGAGAATCTGACTCTCCTCAAGGAAGATAGCCAGAAAAACCACAAAAGTCCAGCCGACTAGCGGTCGATCAACGAGATGGACACCCCAAACGGGTCTTTCGCACGAACACATCCTTGAGGGGACCTTCAGGCAAACATGCCATGAGTCCTCACAAAAGTGTGTAGCTTGATGTGCTGGCTTTGAGCACTTAAGCTCTTACCCCAGTGGCCAAGATTTGGACCACCATTGCCTGAACTTGACAAGAGCCAATTGCACTCTAGGGTGGAACAGCATGGCTCAAATCAGTGGAATCTGCCTCCAAAAGCGCATCAGCAGAACTGCAACTTCGCAAATGTCAGGTTTTTTATCGAATAATTTTGGATCTCCACCCTCCCAAAGGCAGTCACCAGCAGCTCTGGCAACAGCTTGAGTTGGATGAGTGTCCATCTGCTTGTGAGATACTCCAACAAGCAACCACAGCACACATTGCACGCCTTCTAGCCGACACATTTCTACATACCTATTCAAGTAATGGTTTTTCACCACCGCCAACTGCATCCGATCTCATCGAAAACCCCGATGGACGCTCCAGGAAAATCTATGGGAAAATGCAGCACCAAATGCATCACTCACTCTCCTGCAAATCTTCCAGGTTTGTACACCCAAACCTACGTTTCCTCTTTGAGAAACGTGTCTGCTCCCATCTCACTTGGGATGCAAACGCAAACTCCTGAGGCTCCTGTGTCCCCTAAAGCCAGGACAGGAAAATCATGGTCCACAACACCCAAGTCACGACCTCACGCGGTGCTGAAGTCAGCAGGATGCTGAACCACGACTGGTCTCTCGTCATCATACCGAACACATGGAACACCCCGGAAGAAGTGTGGCTTGATGACGGCTCGCCTTCCAAGGGTGGGATGTTCATTGTGCAAATATACATTTACATACATTTATCAACACAAAATTGTCCCCAGGTCTCTGATCTCAACCTCCTCCCATCCGCCAAATTCATCTTCAAACCATATCTGAGCATATCTGAACATTAAGCATATATAGGAAAAATATGTATTCTTATGAATGTGTGATGTGTATATATGGACCATAAACATCTGAGTCTCGGCTTCGAGGGCATCATGAGTTCAGCCTTTCATTCTTGATGGACAATGACATCATGACATCATCCAAAGCGCCCCCAAAATCGTGGATCCACCCAAATCAGCCATCAGTTCTGAATCACGCCCACTCGCTCACCCTGTCAAGATCAGAAACCTCGACACCCATTGCACACCCACCATTTTGTGAAGTGCCCTTTCGTTTTCTTACCTCGCCACCCACCGACTGATCGCTACAAACCCGCGATTTTGCACAAAACCAAAGCCGCAGAAGCTGCGTAAGTGATCAGCAAGAGTTTGGCCGAGTCCTTCTGCACAGAACCGCTAACCTTAAGTGCCGGAGGTTTCCAGCGGATCCTCCTAGTATGTTGGGCCTGCTTGGCTCTAGGACAGGTGGGAAAACATAAAAACCCACGCCTGCTGAAGTGCAAGCAAGGTTGTTCTTCCCAACATGGTTGTTGTACATTTGGTTTGGCACAGGCCAAAAATATACACCAACAACTAAAATAACTAAAAACAACTACATATACTACTATATATATATATACAGTATATACGCCGGCCTTGCTGGCATGTCTAATGGGTGATTTGGATTTTTTGATGTGTGCTGTGTTGTAGTTGTAGGCTGTAGCATAACTATACCTCTTGGACGGAATTTTGCTTCGTCTTGTTTGTCCTCTTTGTCCTGTTCCTTCTGTCCGGTATGCTGGGCTCAACTGTGCGATGGTCCCATCGCAAAGCCACCGTTGCGCAAGGCCCTGGCACAAGGCCACTGAACATAGTGCATGGCAGTCCCAGCCACAGGCCATCAAACACCGCTCCGATCACAGGTTCAAAACATCGTCGTCTTGGTTGCACTATGTTGCACTCAATGTCTGCAAGCCGGGCCAAATTTCCTCTCTCTTTTTGTGCCGAAGTCCTGCAAAGACCTCCATGCGTGTCAAGGTCATTCCTCCATTGGAGGCAGCTACGGTAAAACTTTTGTCGCGTAACTGCAGACCATCGTGTGCGAAAATCGTGCAAGCCTCATCTGACAACCATGTCCAGTGGCTGGCATTCTGCAGCATCGACTGTTCCAGTGATAAACTCACCAGCTTGACCCTCCAGAACGCCCCACCCCGGACCCCACGAGATCCCACCACAAGCACTGACAGCACATTCAAACAATTCATGTTCACCACATCGCCTTGTTCCAACTCAATATCGGCAGTGGTCAACTCCCGTACAGCTCCTGAAGAATACTCAAGAAACAGCTCAAAGCAAGCACAGTCAAATTGATTTCCCGGGCCGCGGGCATTGGGCAACCTTCTCAACAATCTCCCCTTCACCTTCCGGTGGCTTTAATGCCCACATTATCACATTCGCAAAAAGCACCCACACTGCCTCAAATGCCTCCAGTCCACCAAGGAAGCATTCTTGGGAGGGTTGTCTGGCTGGCCCTTTCCTTTGCTGCGTTTTTCGTCGTGCAGTTCCCCTTTCTCTTTCACCACTTGGCTATCTCCTTGCGTTCGTCGGAAACCGTTTTCGTCAACGTAGGCACAATGATGCCCCTTCCCGGCCGATGGCGGATTCCCATGTGGCAGGGTTTTGCAGGTCCGCTTCCGCAGTTGCTTTCTGTGGTCGAAGACAGTCTAAGACATGAACAAATGGTCCAGTTCACCACGTTGAGGCGAATACCTAATAGCAAGGTAGGGTGACAGATGGTCTTGTCTTCCCAGATCAACCTATCACTTGGCTGGAGAGTTTGCCGCAGCTCTCAGCTCTCACTGCCTTCAAATAATAGTCTAACGAAGCCCCTGGCTCAAGTGGGAACTCTTCAAAATCCACCAAGCTTATGTCACCCACCGAAGGCTTGAAGTCGCCGTACCTCTCCCTATTCACATTGGGCTGCGGATTGAGAGAGTAGTCGCCTGGGCTGCACCACCATCCAATCAGTGCCCCCCTAGAGGCACGGCTATCAGTCGATGGCTATCCTATCCATTCCGTCCACTCAAGCGAGTCCACGTCACAGACCTGTCAAGCAAAGAGAATCATTGAGTATAACATCGCACCAGGAGTCACAAAGGGGTGGTGTTTAGTCCCATCCAGTGAGTGGATCATGGATGATAATGGGCACCCCTATCCTCCAATAGGCACACCTTTGTGACAGCGTGAGTACGGTCTTCCACCCCAAAAGTTCGACAGCTTGGGTAACTCTTGGATGGGTAAAGAGGGTCTACCAGCCAATCCTTGCGGAGTCAATCGTAGGATTCTTTTACATAGCATGCGGGAATGTTTTTGGCATGTACCAGGACGCCACCCTGGAAACGAACATGTTCGACCGCGTTCCATCTTCCTGCCCCATGAAGGCAAGTGTTCCCCCGTCTGTTTCCTGCGCTCAACGTGGAGCGAGGGCACGCACGCTTCGCACGCACGAGGGCCACGCCGAGCCACGCCCGCCATCACTGAGAGGTTGATCATTGGAGGGCCGCAGCTTTGCAGCAGAAGAGTCCTCAAACGGTTCTGTCGAGGTGTGATTTTAAGGTGGTAGTAGTAGTGGCAGTAGTCGTGGTCGTCGTCGTTGTAGAAGTAGCAGTAGTAGGTGACCTACCTCCTAACTGACCCCCAAAGAACCACATGCAAGATTGGGTCCCGTGGTTTCTCCAATTTCCCTACCAATGCGGGTGAAGAGAAAGTGGTCTGAGCCTATCGAAATGCTGATGAGAGTGGCAATATATGACGCTATAACAGGACAAAGCAGGAGGTTTACATTCCGTGGAACAATCATAAGTTAATAATGGCCACTTGGATGGCCATTCTCCGAATACAATCAAGTGATTATTTCAGAGGGGTCATATTCATTCTCTGTGACCACATAAAGACTTTCTGGATGCCTTCTTGTCGTCTGGCCCTATTTCAACTATACATCCTATAGTTTCAATCGCTGGAGGTTCTACAGCAAAGGTCTATCAGGAAGAATCAGGAGAGTATGGAACGCACCGCGTCCTCCGCAATACCAAGCCAGGTTCTTTGTTAATTACGTGCGGGCACTCCAAAATGTCCCAAGTTCCACAGTAGCAAAGGGCATGATTCAACAGGGTTATCCTTTCTGCAGCCACATGGTTATCGCATGTGATCGCCTCTGTGCAGGGAGGCTGGTAGCTTGTGCAGGTCAAATCGCCACCGGTCGCGGAGGTCGGTGCAGCATGTGTGGGTCTCTATGGCACAGACCGGACCCCTTCAAAACACTGAACGAGGGCGTCGACCAGGTTTGGGCTCTGCATGGCTCTGCTTTGCCACTTGGCGGAGATTTGAGCTCAGTTTTTGATCCACTGTTGCAAGTTGCAAGGTATGAGGATTAGATGTCGACTTGCAACTGCAGCAGGG